TGCCCCCGGGGCCGGCCGGGGAATGTGCTGCTTCAGCAGGCAGCAGCTTGCCTTTTTTTATCAGGCAGCCTGTGCTGGAGCCAGCAGCAGCTCCCAAGCCTGCCGGGCCTCCGGGCTGGGCTGCCGTGAACAAGGCCGCTCACAGCACGGCCGGGGCAGCTGCGGAAATATTTCCGAGCCGCGTTTTCCGCTCGCGTTCTCTGCGGAAGGCAAACACCAGCAGCTCGTAAATTCACCGGCAGAAAGCGCTGGGTCTCGCCGCTCTGCGAGGCCAGCCCTGCTCCCGGGCTGCGTGACGGCCACGGCACCGGCCCCGCTCCGCGTGTGACACGGGGGAGCTCAGGGATCCCTGCCAGCCAGGGCAGGGCTCGGGAAACAGGGCAGAAACGCTGCCAGCTACGAGCTTCGTGGGGCAGCCAGGAGACATCTCTGCGCCTCCCCAAGTGCAGACCACGAAGAAATAACACGGGCTTGGCTTAAACACAGTTTCTCGGTGGCAGAAATGTGCCTCCTCACCAGCACGCCGGCAGGCTGCGTGTAAAATGGCTTTGGGCCTTCGAATTGCCACCCTGCGAGCCCTGGCTGTGCCCAGGAGGGAGGCTGGCGGTGGGGACGCACCCCGAGGGGACAGGGACAGGGCTGGCACCCCCCTCGCGTGCCCTGGTGCCCAGCCCCCTCTCTGCTCCGTCCCTGGGCAGGATGCAGACAGGCTGGCTTTTGGTTTCTTTCCCAACCGCGTCTTTTCTGTGTGTCAGGAGCTTCGGCACCTATCTTCTTCCACATCCCAAAGATCCCCACCCCTGCGCAAGGGCAGGGGCTTTGACACACCTCCACCAAGCCCCGCTTAAGAAGAGGAGGAAGAGGAGGAGAGAGCCCACGAAGGCATAAATACAGCCCCCGAGGGAGCGCAGGGCTGGATGCAGGCAAGGCCGACGCATCCACCGCAGAGCGTGCCCCGGGCTCCAAGAGGAGCCGCTTTCTTGGAAAGGCAGGTTGCGAGTGGGATGACTCAGGTCAGCAGCTCTCGCTGCCAACCCAAACGAACACGGCCCGGCCGCGTTCCCACCCCGCGGAGACGTTTCCTGGGGCCGCCCCTCCGGCTCCGGGAGCAGGAGCACGGGAGGCGGCTGCGGGGCGCTACACAAGCCGCGCCATTCCTGAAGACCCCAAAGATGTTTCACGCAGCTAGAAGCATCGGATGGATAGCCGTGGCTCCCACGCAGAGGGACGGGGAGGACGCAGGACTGCTAGCGAGCAGCGTGCTCTGATGCCCACCAGCTCCTGCTGCTGACCCTGCCAGGAGGTCTTCTGCATGGCACGCAAAGAGCAAAGGCGGGCAAAGCGTGGCCATCGCCCCTTTTTGCCATCTCACAGCACCCGGAGCGTGCTGAGCCCATGCCACAGGGCCTGTGAGCAAAAACAACAGGCAAAGGGAAGGCAGCAGCTCTGCGGCAGCGCCCGGGCACCCGAGGGTTTCCACG